CAAACAACAACAGCAAAACATATCAATTAAATTCATAAATATTTGTTTTTGTAATTACCGTAAATTTAAATATCATATCTAATTAATCGCATCATATATTTGTTTGTTTTTTCGCCGATAGTGGCCACCAAAACGGGTGTTAGTAGTAGTAGTAGTAGTAGTAGTAGTAGTACTGATCATATGGTTATCAGTCGGCGGCAACGGTGTTGACCACTAACTAACTGTCTATCCTATCAATTAATTGTATTTATTTATTATCAAATTATTGTTTTTTTCTCATTTTTTTGTTTGTTTTTTGTTTTCGGTAAATATACCGGTAATCACTAATTTATAGTCCCTAAATATGGACACACTTTTTGTTTAATTTCATTTTTTTAAAAAAATTTTTTTTTGTTTTTTCATTTTATTAACAATTTGTTTGTTATTTTGTTTTCTAATTCGTTTATAATAATTTTTATTATTATAATTAATATTATTATTATTGCAATAATTATTATTATTTATATTTTAATTCCGGTGAACACATAAATTTTCATTTATATATTAATTAAATTATTATATAATTTATATATAAGGTTATATATATATATACTGATATATATATATATATATATAATTGTGATATTGTTTTTTTTAATGTATTATTCAATATACAGGTTTTATACATTTTAATTGAAATTATTATATATATCTAACTTATATTAATATAATAAAATACTATAAAAATTGTTACTATTAGACTAATTAAATGTTATGTAATCTAATTGACTTTAATAAAATATTTTTGATTTCAAAACTTATTTAAAAAAAACAATTTTTATAGTAAGAAAAAACGGTTATTTTCTATAATTTAACTAAAATTATAAAACATTTTTACTATAAATAAAATCCATTAAACTATAATCTATCTTATATTGCTTACCGTAAATTAATTAAATACTGGTATCTATTGTATTCATATTGTTTTTAATTGATATATAATTAAAATAATTATATTAATTTTTATATTTATATAGTATTATTATTATTGTTTAACTTTTTTCTTTTTAAAATTAACATTTTTATTGTCTAATTAGTGAACTAAACATTTTGTTTAAAAATTTAATATCATGTATTAATATGTATTAAATTAAATGTATTATTTAATATACAGGTAAAAAACATTTATTATTAATTGACATTATATTACTGTATAATATAGTCTAGAGTCTAGACATAATCTTAGATAATTTAAATAATATAAGACAAAAATAAATGTTTTTTTTTATATATATATATCTAACTTATATTAATATAATAATATACTATAAAATTGTTATTGATTTTTGTTTAGTATAATGTATTTCTATTATATTTAAATAATTAAAATAAATACATTACATTCCTATATTACATAAATATAAATATCAAACATTTTTATAGATTATATTTAAATATATTGATCAAAAAAAAAATTTGGATAAAACTTTATTAGCAAATAAATATTATATTGTTTAAAACATTTTTGTTCAATAATATATATATATATAATATAAATATTTTTTCTATTTAAGTTTGTTATAAATTATTAATATATATAATTTAATAATAGATTTTTTTTGCCAGACATTTGAAATACAAATACAACTAACTATCTGTTATTAAAAAAAAATTACTGTATTATTATTTTATCGAAAATATATAATTAGTTATTAAAATTTTGTTTTATAATAAATATTTATATTTTCTACTATTATATATTATAATTATAAATTTATATATAAGTTAAATAAAATAATTTTTTTATAACAGAATTTAATTAGCAAATATTAATTTATTTATCATATTTTCTTAACAAATATTATTATTATTATTTATTATACAATTATATTATTTTTTATTTTTTTTAATACAATTTATAATAAATACTAGAATATATAATGTAATAATCTATTTAATTTGAAATCATATTAAATATACAGATAATAATAATAATAATTAAATAAAACTATAGTTTATTTTAGTATATAATTAACTAATAATTATAGCAATAAATGTCAAAACAAAAATGACCCGAAAAAAAACCAATCAAACAATTAGTAAAGTTGTCCACAAAAAAAACTATCAGTGATTGGACACAATCACCGATACAACCGATACCAACCCATCCTATCCTATCTAATCGGTGTCTGTCTGTCTGTTATCTTCTATGTCTTCTCTGACCCAACTCTTCCTTTGCTTCGGTAAACTGGTCTTTAAGTTCGCGTCAAAATCGCTGAACAAATCGGCCAAAAATTCCCGTTTTGTCAGCTGTCCGTCATCTGAGATCATCGATAACTTCTTGTTTGTTGCGGACATCTCCGCCGATACTGTCTTCGACTGCCTGTCGACCTCTGGTCAGCCAACGGGAAGTCAATTGTGCCGATCGGCGAATAATTGACGACTGGGCTAACCGTTCGACCACTCGATCGTTACCGATAAAGCCGTAGATAACCCGATAGACAATACGGAAAACCATTTTATTTTTTCTTCAAAAACTAACTGTCCGTTCAAATGTATGGATCAATTGATTGTCAAAAAAACAGTTTATATTATAATTAAATCTTCAAAAAAAAAACAAAACAATAAATATTTTATTTACTAATAAAACTAATCATATGTTTTGCTATTAATTTAGTTTAATTATAATGTAATTCAATGTAAAAATAATTAATAAATAAAGTTTCAAAATATTAGACTCTATTTAGAATCTAAATTTTAGATTAGACTAACAACACATTTGTGTATTGGGAAAAACGGTTTGGTTTTTAAGTATGTGTTTCAATTAAAAACAGTTTTAAAAAAATAAAAATACTTATCAATTAATTTTTTCTAATAAACTTATTATAATATAAAATTATATATATTAATTATTTATTGAATATATATATAAAACAATTAATAACTAATTTAATTAAATCCAAATTATGGTAATTAATAGCAAACCTATACCCGAATCCAAACCCAAAAAAAATAACTCTATTGTATAGACATCTCTATAATAGCATTCAATACAACATATGATAGTAAACATCAATAATAACAACAACAAAAAATTTGGTACTTTTTTATACTACAAAGTTTTAACTGTTTAACTATATAGTCTACATAACTAGAAAAAGTACCCAAAACTAGAAATAAAATTATGTTTTTATTCAGTTGTGATTCAGTCAGTAGTGAAGCGCACAATAAAAACATATTTGTTTTGTAGACTTAAGACAATAGACATCACTTACAGACAAACGGTTCCCAATTTTAGACGCGAGAGAGAGGAGGAGGACATCCATATCATTAACATCACTACTATAAAGATGAACGGATCAGATGATGACAACATCGCTAGCGATACACAGCTGATGAACGATAGCTTTCAGACTGAACCGCAAGACCTGACCATCAAAAAGCCGACGACAACGACAACAACTGAAGTGACAGTCAATAATCAGTTGGTAGTGAACACTGAAGAAGATGAAGAAGAAGAAGTGGTAGACAACGACAACAACAACAGCAGTGGCAAAGAAAAAGTGTCGATAATTGGCGACAAAACAACTACAGCGGTAGAGGCGACTGAAGACCAGACAATAGACACTGTTTGTCACAAACAGCAGTCCATCACCGACACTACCGATGATGACGGTGTCAGTGGTGGCAGTACTACCAAAGCTAACGGCTGCCAATTGCCAGCACTTGACCCGCGAGATCCACAGCTACTGCAAGTCGTTCATCAATTGGTTGCCGATCTGTACGACAGAAATCACTTCTGGGAACAGATTAGCGATGTATCGAAAGGCGAAGAGATATTGAATTCAATGAAAAGTTTGGTCGAAAACAGAGAAACAATTGCTAAACAATCTTCGGTTTTGAGGTCTCCATCGCCGACAGAGGACTCGCAGACAGCGAAGAAACTGAAGACAATGTCGTCGACGACAACAATGACAACAAAGTCTATCGTCACTACTGTGACAATGAGGCCAACCATTTGCTAAATAAATTAAAATTTATTAATGAACTAATCGATGGAAAGACTTCAAGAATCCAGTCAGAGATCACTGCCTTTCAGATGAAAGACTTTCAGACCAATTGATTCAGTGATCTCTGGATTACCGCAAACAACAACAACAACAACAACAACAGCAAAGCATATCAATTACCGTAAATCGTAATTCATATTAAGTAATCGTATCATATATTTGATTTATGGCCGATAGTGGCCACCAAAACGGGTGTTAGTAGTAGTAGTAATACTGTCATCGGCAGTAACTGTGTTGACCACTAACTAACTGTCTGTCCTATCAATTGATTATTTTATTTTTCAAGTCAATGATTGTATTTATTTATTACCAAATTTTTGTTTTATATCACATTTTGTTTCGGTAAATAAATCGGTAATCACTAATCACTAATCACACACACACACACACACACACACACACACACACACACACACACAGTCACCGATTTACTGGATATATATGTATTTAATATAACAGCAACAAAAGTTTTATATCATATGTTTTTATTACAGTTAATATACTGTTATTATCTATCTATCAATCAAATTGTATGACCAGAAAAACACAATTAATTATTAAATCAATTCATTATAAATTAATTCATTAAATAAAATAAATTATTTTATATATAAAAAATTATAAACTTTCAATTAAATTCAAATCAATCAATCAATTAATAAATCAAAATTTCAATTAAAAAAATTTTGAATACAAATAATGAGAGATAGAAATCAAAAAATTTTATTTTTAATTATACGAAATATTAATTGTCATTAAAGAAGTGGTAGTAGTCTTCATACACACCAATTGATCCGATGTCCTGATCGGGATGTCCTCTAACTCTCTCTCTTATCGGGTCTCTAATCATCGTTGCGTAGCTTCTCCTGAATCTTAACCCAACGAGCGAACGGACCCTTATTGGGAAAGTACTGACAGGTAATACCGTTGGGTTGTAGTCGGCCGTCGGCAACCATTTCCCGGTAGTCCTCCTGAGACCACTTAGTAAAACCCCACTTCTTCGATACGGCAATCTTCTGTCGGCCGGGAAACTTGAACTTTGACCGTCGGAGTGCCTCAATAACATTGTCCTTAAGTTGTTCGCGGACGCGTACCGATATCAACGGCTGGCCAATGTCTACACGAGCGACAGTGCCCAAGGGTTTATCGAAAGCACCGCGCATTCCCGTCTGCCGCACGTTTTGACCAAATATTTGTTACAACAAATACGGCCGGCCTCTAGCGCTTCGGAACTGATCTGCTCGAACTCGTTGGACAACAAGTGGACGCATAAGGGAAAGTCGCGGACATCGGCTTTTTGCGGCCCAAATCAAATATACGGATCTTAGCGTCGGGTACTCCCCGGCAAAAGCGGGACTTCGGGTACGGTTTGTTTTTGCAATAGCGATAACAGCGAGCCGGTCGGCGACCCATTGTGTCCGGTCGATAGAGTATCGGGTCTGCGATAGATAGATATCAAATGTATGAATAAATTGATTGTTAAAAAACAAAAAAAAGTTTATATAATAATTAAATCTTCAAAAAACAAAACAAAACAAAACAATAAATATTTTATTTACTAATAAAACTAATAAAATGTTTTGCTATTAATTTAGTTTAATTCATATGTAATTCAATGTAAAAAATAAAATAAAATAAATAAATAAAGTTTCAAAACTCTATTAGATTAGAGTCGCAACACATTTGTGTATTTTGATAAACGGTTTGGTTTTTTAGTATTTGTTTTAATTAATACTGTTTATTAAAATTAAATTTAATAAATAAAAATATTAAATAATTAAAATTTTCTAATAATCTTAACATAATTTATATAATATATATATATATATATTATTTATTTATATATAAAATACAATTAATAACTAATTTAATTAAATCCAAATAATGGTAATTAATAGCAAACCTAAACCCAAATCCAAACCCTGAATAGTAACTCTATTGTATAGACTCTCACTCTATAATAGCATTCAATACAACATAAGATAAAAAAAATTACAACAATATTAACCAACAAAAAATAATACGCGATTTGCCAACAATTAATTTGGTACTTTTTTATACTAAATTGTTTTAACTGTTTTACCTATATAGATCTATAACTAGAAAAAGTACCAAAACTAGATATTCAAATAAATTTATAGAATAATTAACAATAAATACGTTATGTTTTTTTCATTCTAGTTGTGATTCAATCAATCAATCAATCAGTCAGTCAGTGAAGCGCACAATACAAACCATTTTTATGTTTTCTTCGGTAAAACTGGTCAGAAATTAACCGACAAATTAGCCAACATTTTCCGTTACGTCTGTCAATCGATTGACATCATTAGATAACCGCTTGTTTGGTTGTTAACCAATACCCGCCGCAGCCGCCAATCTGAGCCATACCGCACGCGGCCTCTATAGAGCTTCGGAGCTGATCTGCTCGAACTTGTTGGACAACAAGTGTACGCATAGCGGGTAGTCGCGGACCTCGGCTTATTTGCGGCCCAAATCAAATTTACGAATCTTAGCGTCGGGTACTCCCCGGCAAAAGCGGGACTTCGGGTACGGTTTGTTTTTGCAATAGCGATAACAGCGAGCCGATCGGCGACCCATTGTGTGGCCAATTGGTGGTTGGTATCGGGTGTCTGCGATAGATAGATAGATAGATATCAAATGTATGGATCAATTGATTGTCAAAAAAAACAGTTTATATTATAATTTATTTTATAGACTTGAAGACAATAGACATCATTTACAGACAAACGGTTCCCAAGTTTAGACGCGAGAGAGAGGACATCACTAGACCATGTCCTACCACTACTCAGTATTTGAGTACCCGAGGTATCAGTTGGCCGCCAATGGTTTACCAGAACCGATAGTCAATGATCTGGACAACAGGCCGCCGGTTAAGCTGCGCGTGCCGTACGGACAACAGTACGGCAATACGGCGCGGATCAGTTCGGCCTCAAAGAGGTATAAAACACTAGCTAAACATTTCGACCAAAACATCGCTAACCAAGTGGTGCGTCCGACTGCTCAACAATTAACTTTCGAAGAATTAAGAGCCGAAGTCCAAGATATGGCATTCAACGAATTCAAGTCGGCGGACATTAATAGTAAGTTACCATTAGTTTCGTTAATAAATTTCAATTTGTTTAGCAAATGGTTGGCCTCATTGTCACAGTAGTGACGATAGACTTTGTTGTCATTGTTGTCGTCGTCGACATTGTCTTCAGTTTCTTCGCTGTCTGCGAGTCCGTTGGCGCCGATGGAGACGTCAAAGCCGAAGATTGTTTAGCAATTGTTTCTCTGTTTTCGACCAAACTTTTCATCGAATTCAATATCTCCTCTCCTTTCGATACATCGCTAATCTGTTACCAGAAGTTATGATAATTGGCTGCTGAAGATCAGACAATAGACAATGTGTGTCACAAACAGCAATCCGTCGCCGACACTACCGATGATAATGATGACGACGGCAGCGGTGGTGGTGTTAGTGGCAGTACTWCCAAAGCTAACGGCCGCCGATTGCCAGCACTTGACCCGCGAGATTCACAGCTACTGCAAGTCGTTCATCAATTGGTTGCCGATCTGTACGACAGAAATCAATTTTGGGGAACAGATTGGCGATGTATCGGAAGGCAACTAAAGCAGCGGCGGCTGAAGATCAGACAATAGACAATGTGTGTCACAAACAGCAGTCCGTCGCCGACACTACCGATGATAATGATGGCGATGGCAGCGGTGGTGGTGTTAAAACAGTACTACCATAATTGCTAACAGAAATCATTTCGGCGACGTCCGATCGGCGCCAACGGACTCGCAGACAGCGAAGAAACTGAAGACAATATCGACGACAACAATGACAACAAAGTCTATCGTCAACTGTGACAATGAGGCCAACCATTTGCTAAACAAATTGAAATTTATTAACGAACTAATCGATGGAAAGACTCTCTTTTCTCTCTCTCTCTCTCTCTCTCTCTGTAATCAAACTAATTATTATTATTATTATTATTATTATTATTATCAGATGTTGAGTCCAATCGTAAAGAATACGCTTTTGGTTTGGTTTGGCCGACCATTGCCCCACAAATGATGGAAGATTTGGTGGCTTATTATATCCAATTCAATAAGACGCGATACATAGCCATCAATTATTAGTAGTTTTTAATATTTAATATTTAAAATATGTCATTTAATATAACAACAAAAAGTTTTTATATCATATGTTTTTTATTACCGCTAATATACTGTTATTATCTATCAATCAAATTGTATGACCAGAAACACAACACAACACAACACAACAAAACTACTAATTAACTAATCAATCACTTCATTATAAATAACTAAATTCATAAAAAATTTCATTAATATTATTATTATATAATTTTATTTTATTTTAAATATATTAATTTTAATTGTTTTGCTGTTATAATTTTATAACATTGATTTGTTATGATATAATTTTATTGAAATTTTAATTTTATTAATTTATAAAAAATGATTTAAATTTAATATGTAGTTTTAAAATATTAATTAATTAATTTAATTATTAATAATAGTTAATTTTTTTGTTATACAATTCTGTGATAATAAATCCATTATAAACATACATTTGTTATAAAAATGATATTTTTTTTTAAATAATAAAAATCTTTATAATATTTGCCGTTAATCTAATAATCATTGAATTAAGTTAATAATTTACAATTTAAATAATAATTAACAAAATTTAGTTATTATATAATTTTTAAAAGTTTTATTATAAAAGATATTATATATTTTTTATATATACCGGTATATCATTTACAGTATATATTAACTGATTGTCTAATTAATTAATTATTAACCATAACTACTTAATAAGTATAGTATAATTAACTATATTTATTATAACTGATTTAATTAAATATAACTCATTTATTATATTTTCTTAACAAATATTATTATTTTTATTATTAATATTTATTATACAATTATTTTTTTTTAAATACCTTTTATAATAAATACTAGAATATAGTAATAATCTATTTAATTGATATAATAATAATAATAATAATAATAATAATAAATAAAACTATAGTTAATAAATAATTAACTAAATATTTTTTTTAATAACAGGATTTAATTGGCAAATATTAATTAATTTATTATATTTTCTTAACAATTATTATTATTATTTATTATACAATTATATTATTTTTTATTTTTTTAAATACCATTTATAATAAATACTAGAATATATAATGTAATAAACTATTTAATTTGATATCATATTAAATATACAGATAATTATAATAATAATAATAATAAATAAAACTATAGTTTATTTTAGTATATAAATAACTAATAATTATAGCAATAAATGTCTAACAAAAATGTCCCGAAAAAAACCAATAAAACGATTAGTTAGAGTTGTCCACAAAAAAAACTATCAGTGATTGGACACAATCACCGATAATAACCGATACCAACCCATCCTATCTGTCTATCAATCGATGACTGTCTGTCTGTTATCTTCTATGTCTTCTCTGACCCAACTCTTCCTTTGCTTCGGTAAACTGGTCTTTAAGTTCGCGTCGAAATCGATGGACAAATCGGCCAAAAATTCCCGTATCGTTAGCTGTCCGTCGTCTGAGATCATCGATAACTTCTTGTTTGTTGCGGACATCTCCGCCAATACTATCTTCGACTGCCTGTCGACCTCTGGTCAGCCAACGGGCAGTCAATTGTGCCGATCGGCGAATAATTGTTGACTGGGCTAACCGTTCGACCACCCGATCGTTGCCGATAAAGCCGTAGATAAGCCGATAGACAATACGGAAAACCATTTTATTTTTTCTTCAAAAACTAACTGTCCGTTCAAATGTATGGATCAATTGATTGTCAAAAAAAACAGTTTAAATAATATTTTTTTTTTTTAAATAAAACGAAACAATAAATATTTTATTTACTAATAAAACTAATCATATGTTTTGCTATTAATTTAGTTTAATTCATATGTAATTCAATGTAAAAATAAAATTAATAAATAAATAAAGTTTCAAAACATTAGACGCTATTTATAATAGATTAGAGTCACAACACATTTGTGTATTAATTAAAAAAACGGTTTGGTTTTTTAGTATGTGTTTTAATTAAAACAGATTTAAAAAAAATTAAATTTAATAAATAAAAATATTAAATAATTAAAATTTTCTAATAATCTTAACATAATTTATATAATATATATATTTATTATTTATTTATATATAAAATACAATTAATAACTAATTTAATTAAATCCATATTATGGTAATTAATAGCAAACCTATACCCGAATCCAAACCCCATAAAAATAACTCTATTGTATAGACTCTCACTCTATAAGAGCATTCAATACAACATATGATAGTAAACATCAATAATAACAACTAAACAAAAAAAAACTACGGTTTGTTATCAACAAAAATTTGGTACTTTTTTATACTACAATGTTTTAACTGTTTAACTATATAGTATATATAACTAGAAAAAGTAACAAAAAACTATAAATACGATTATGTTTTTATTCAGTTATGATTCAATCAGTCAGTGAAGCGCACAATAAAAACATATTTGTTTTGTAGACTTCAAGACAATAGACATCACTTATAGACAAACGGTTCCCAATTTTAGACGCGAGAGAGAGAGAGAGAGAGGAGGAGGAAGACAACATTATCATCACTACTATAAAGATGAACGGATCAGATGATGACAACAACATCGCTAGCGATACACAGCTGATGAACGATAGCTTTCAGACTGAACCGCAAGACCTGACCATCAAAAAGCCGACGACAACGACAACAACTGAAGTGACAGTCAATAATCAGTTGGTAGTGAACACTGAAGAAGAGGAAGAAGAAGAAGAAGTGGTAGACAACGACAACAACAACAGCAGCGGCAAAGAAAAAGTGCCGATAATTGACGACAAAACAACTACAGCGGCGACAGCGGTAGAGGCGACTGAAGACCAGACAATAGACACTGTTTGTCACAAACAGCAGTCCGTCGCCGACACTACCGATAATGACGGCAGCAGTGGTGGCAGTACTATCAAAGCTAACGGCCGCCGATTTCCGGCACTTGACCCGCGAGATCCACAGCTACTGCAAGTCGTTCATCAATTGGTTGCCGATCTGTACGACAGAAATCACTTCTGGGAACAGATTAGCGACGTATCGAAAGGCGAAGAGATATTGAATTCGATGAAAAGTTTGGTCGAAAACAGAGAAACAATTGCTAAACAATCTTCGGCTTTGACGTCTCCATCGGCGCCAACGGACTCGCAGACAGCGAAGAAACTGAAGACAATGTCGACGACGACAACAACAACAAAGTCTATCGTCAACTGTGACAATGAGGCCAACCATTTGCTAAATAAATTGAAATTTATTAACGAACTAATCGATGGAAAGACTTCAAGAATCCAGTCAGAGATCACAGCCTTTCAGATGAAAGACTTTCAGACCAATTGATTGATTGATTGATTCAGTGATCTCTGGATTACCGCAAACAACAACAACAACAACAGCAGCAAAACATATCAATTAAATTCATAAATATTTGTTTTTGTAATTACCGTAAAATAAATTCATATCTAATTAAATCGCATCATATATTTGCTTTATCGGCGATAGTGGCCACCAAAACGTGTTTAGTAGTAGTAGTAGTAATGATCATCTGGTTATCATCAGCGGCAACGGTGTTGACCAGTAATTAACAAACTGTCTGTCCTATCAATTGATTATTGTTTTTCAAGTCAATGATTGTATTTATTTATTACCAAATTATTTCTATTGGTTATTGTTTCGGTACTAATATACCGGTAATCATCACTAAAATATAGCCATAAATCTCAATCAATTTTGTCATCACACTTGAACTTCGGAAGATGATGGCCAGTGGCCAAACACACACACACCGATTTGCTGGCCCACACCCAACTCGGGTGGATCTGAAAACTTGATCAGTGTGTGTGTGTGTGTGTGTGTGTCCTTAATCCTGATTTGGCCACTAAATTGTCGTCAAAAATAATTTTTTATTTTTGACAACAACAACAACAACAACCCTTAAGCGTCGGTGAATAACTGCATTCTTCCTGATTTCTGGTTCCTAAAGTTTTCGAGTTGTTTACCACCGGAGCCGTCAAATCTTTTTTTTTTTGTTGTGACAAACTGTTGCCACCAACGCGTCGACCGAAAACTTTATGTTTCAGTTCATAGTTTTAAATCCCTGGCGCCGACAGCTGGAGCCGTATCTCTCTCTCTCTCTCTCTCTATCTATCTATCTATCTTTCTCTCTCTCTCTCTCTCTCTCTCTCTCTCTCTCTCTCTCTCTCTCTCTCTCTCTCTCTCTCTCTATCTATCTATCTATCTATCTATCTCTCTCTCTCACTCTCTCTCTCTGTTTGGATGCTTATAATATAATTTACAATTAGTATTGAACTATATACTATACTAATCTATGTTTAAATATGTATTAATCTATTTATATGTATATATTTTTTTTTATAAATATTGATTAAATAAATATTAAATACCTAAATAAAATTTTTATAGAAATATCAGAGTATATAATCAATATATTGTATACTAAATAATTAATTATATATATATATACTGTATATACTGTATATTTTGTATACATATTTAATAAAAAATATTATTTAATGTTTATTCTATATATTAATGTATAGTTTACTATAGGAAACAGTAGATATTTTCAATCGGTTCAAACAAATATTTAAAAAAAAAACCAAAACACTTATTTAATTTGAATTATAATTCAAACAAATATTTATAAAAAAAACAAAACACTTACTTAATTTGAAATCATAATTCAAACAAATATTTTTTTAAAAATCTATAATAATAAGTACAATACAAACTAGAATAGCAAATAAAATAGTTATTATATAATAGTTAAATAGTTTAATATTTAATGGTTATTATAAATATATATAATTTTTTTCAATTACTTAAAACCAATTTATAAATAAGTAATAGTAAATAATAATATAAAATAATCTATAATAATAAGTACAATACAAACTAAAATAGCAAATAAAATAGTTATTATATAATAGATAAATAGTAAACATATTTCATGGTTATTATAAATATATAAATATATTTTTTATTCAATTAAATAAACCATTTTATTTATATGATATATAAATGTATGGCATTTTGTAATATAAATATAAACATTTTGTTTTGCATTTTGTAATATTTTGCAAAAAAAACTTATTATTATTAAAGCAGTAAAAACTATATAAAATTTAATTTTTTAAAAAGTGATTTTAACAAAAGTAATACAAATAACTATTAAATTGTTTCAAATTAATAATGAATTATTTAACATTAATTAATCGCATAATAACTGTTATATTAATAATTTTATTTTGTTATTATTTATATGATATAACAATACAATATTTTTTATATGAAATTAGCACAGCTACAATTATTAAACCAATTAAACAATTTAATTTACCTGGCTTAACTATTGCCATGCTGAAATCAAATATATTAAACAAAACCATTTACAATAAGTTTGTTAATAGTAGTGATAAAAATAAATTTAATTACAAACTATTTAATCGATTAGCAATTATTGAACAATATTCATTGTTTAATAATATTGATGATATTTTTCAATGTAAGACAGTTTATGCCACTAAAGTTAACTATTGTACTAACATAATTGATTATAAATTATTTATTGATAAACATTTTTTTTATGTAACATTATTTTCTCAATTATCCTATGAAAACAATACTAAGTATACTACAAAATACAATAGCAGATATAATTATTTTATCTGGATAAAATTACTAAATAAAACTATTTTTAAAAATGATCTAGTTTATGTGGGATTACATGAACGTAATGAAATATACTATGATTTTTATCAAAACAATAATATAGTTATAATAAATTTGACTAAAGGCAATTCATCAGTTATTAAATATAGGGAAAAAAAAGTTTTTTTAAAAATTAATGATAAAAACTGCAATCAAAAAACAAAATCAATGAAACATATTAACTGTGTGTGGAATTGTTTGAAAACTAATTATTTACTTAAATACAAAAGTTATCCACCAAATCATGCTTATTATATAAACAATGATTTTAATAATAATAATAATAATAAAACATTATTTGCTAATAATGRAGATTCTAATATAACTTCATTATGTATTAAACATTGTGTTAATATAGTTGATTGTGTCGAAAATTATTACGAATTTATAAATAACAAAAACTTTTATCTAAATATGAAAAATAAAAATTTATATAATCTTTATATTTCATTACCTAAAGAACAAACAATTATTTATGAAATTTACTATAGATTATCGTTTTTAGAATATTTCATATTTATTAGTAGTATGTTTAGTCTTTTATTCGGCTATTCATTAATTAATTTAACAAAATTAACTACAATTGTTTATAATAAATTTAAAGTTAAAACTCAAGTTACAAATTTAACAGTTAATCAAACATTAGTATTCAAAACAGTTAAAATAAATAATAGAGATAATAATAATAATAATAATAATAATAATAATAATAATAATAATAATAATAATAATAATAATAATAATAATAATAATAATATAAGCAACACTAGACGAATAAAAATACCTACACCTAGTATTTGGACAACAAATGTTTAAAATAAAATTATTTATTAAAACAATTGTATACAAAATTATTTTTTCAAATAAAATTATTTTTATATAAATATAAACAAATAATGTAAATATTTTTAAATAATAAATAAATTTTAGTTATATCTAATAAAATTTAAATTGTAATAACTAAAAATAATTTAATTATTAAAGGTATTGATTAAAAAAACTTAATTATTATAATTTAATTTGATTATATTTATGCTTATGAATTAATCTTTTTATCATAATATTATATTATTATTTTTTATATAAAAAATATTAATATAATTAATCTAAATTAATATAATATTATTTCATTTATATTTTATAGTTTAAAATGTAATTTTTATTATATAATATATTTTTAAAAAACATTTATTAATACCTATAACTATTAATTTAGTTAAAGAAATGTTTAAATAATATAAATTTATTTGCGTCTATTTTTTTACAACTATCTGAGACAAAGTCATTGAATCAGTTTTTTTTGGATATAACATATAAGATTGTTGTTATATTAATATTTATATATATAATATAAATCAAATGCATTTTACAATTAATGCTAATATATATAGTAATAATAATTAAATTTAGCTTATTTTATAACATAATTATAATTAATTATTAAATGAATTCATATAAACAAACATAATATTAAATAATTAAAATTTTTGAAATAATAAGTAATAAGTATAGCTAATATTAATTAAATAAAATAATTAGTTTAACAAAATATATTTATATATATATATATCAGTAATATTATTAATATTATTGTTAATGTAATGTAATATTAATGTTAATTATGTGTAATATTAATTAATATATATATATATATAGATTTTATAAACTAATTTGCAATACTGACAGCTATTAGTATGATTCAAACTATCAAATAGACACTGAGTATAGTATTCGAAATTTATGTTTGTATTATTATTAGTGAATGAAAATATATTTAATTAAATAAATAAATTTTAATTAAATATTATATACATTTAAAATATAAATACATACAAAATATTTAATTAAATATTTAGCATTTTTCGTAAATATAATAATATATTAAAACATAAAACTGTAAATATATGCATATCAATAGTGGTGGTCATCAAAAATCATTGAAAAATTGGAGATCAAAACAAGTGTCAGTACAAGAATCACTACTAACACCAAAAAAAAATGATTTCAATAGTGATTTGTGTAAACTGTTGGTGACATTGAATATACCGTTTCTTCAAATGATAATGAAAAATAAATATTTAAATAAATATTTTTGATATTGTTTAGCAAATATTTTATTGAATATTTTCAGTTTTTAAATAAATATTTTTTTAATGCACTAATTATTATAAATTTATTATATTTTAATAAACCGTGTCACACAACTTTGTTGTCAAAATTGTATAAATATATATACAAACGTAAATGTGTAGAAAATACAGTATAGTATGCGTCAAAACTTAATTTCCGAAACATATRTGTATTTTTTTACAACTTTTTTTCTCTCTAGAAATTTTTTAATTTGCTAACAGAGAGAGAGAGAGAGAGAGAGAGAGAGAGAGAGAGAGAGAGAGAGAGAGAGAGAGAGAGAGAGAGAGAGAGAGAGAGAGAGAGAGAGAGAGAGAGAGAGAGAGAGAGAGAGAGAAATTAATTAATATATTTAAATTAATTAGTTTTTATTATAACTATTGATTGATAGACACAACTACTACTAAAAAAACAAAAATTATTGCCAACAAAAAAAAAATGACTAAATTGTTTGGAGGATCACTTGTATTATCATTATTATTATTATTATTACAAATAATTATAATAATAATTGTTATGTTATCTAACATATCATTGTCTAAACAAATAACTGAAGAGGAAATAAATGAATCAATAAATCAAGCCTTAGATGACGTTCCTTCTTAGAATATATATATATATATATATATATATATATATATATATATATATATATATATATATAACTAAAAGTAAAACTAAAATATTTTCTTTTATTGTTATAATTTGTTTTTTTTACTAAATTTTGTAATTACTATTATTAATGTTTTTTGTTTGTATGTTTTTTTTTTAATTACCGGTAATTTATTTTCATTTTGTTTGTAACAGATTGTATTAATTCTAAAAAAATCAACACAAATGGCGTCCGATATTTATTAGTCAAAATTTCTAATTAAAATTAAAACTATAATTATAATTAATTTTTTTTAAATTATTATTTAAATTAATTATTTTTTATTTCTAGTTATTTAAAGTTTTATTATTATTATTATTATTAAACTTATATATATATATATATATATAAATATTAATTTCAGAAATTGTATGATATATTGATTTTAATATTTAATAATAACATTTGCAATGATATATCAATATATACATCAATGTATGATATAATTATGCTATCAATGTAATCAAAATTTATTAATAAAAATACAATTTAGTTATAATAATTTATTTTTTATTTAAAAAAATAATTATATATATAGATGAAATATATTTATAATGTATATATAATTTTTATTAATTATTTATAATAATAATTAATAGCTATTTTACAGAATTAATTTTAATATTATTTGAAAATAAAATTATTGTTAAATTTCTACATAAGAGTTATATATTGATACTGTATTGTGTAGTACTGTATATTACTGTACAATGAATTTTTTAACTTTGTTTTAGTTATTTGTTAATTAGGAAAAAAAACTACAAATAATATAAAAACTGATTATAAAAAATTATACTTAAAAACAATTAGAATTAAAAACCGATTTTATTATAAAAAAAACATACAAAACAAACAAAATTATTAATTAATTAATTTAAACGATACGACAGTTTTGTTGTTGTTGTCAATAATAGGCGAGAAATTGAGAGAGAAATTAATGAAAAAATATATATATTATATAATAATAATAATTATTACTAATTATATCAATAAAAAAAACATATATTTGTTGCACATATGATGTTTGGACGACGAAAAAAAAAATAATATCAATAATAATAATAATTAATTAATTAATTAAAAAAAAAATTACAGAAAATATATTATTAAATAATAATTAAATAAAAAATAATAATTCAGTTATCAATCAATTAATCAATCAATTGATCCAATCATTCGCGCCTACAGTTCCTCTTTTTGTGTCTCCTTTTTATTACCGCTTCGGTCATAACCGGCCAATTCGTTTGTCGATTGTTTGGCAATATATTGCAAAAAGTCTTGAGCCTCTCGTCCGCCTTCGTATTTCTTCGGCCCGGACTTGTCCTTCGGATACCAATAGATAGTGGGAAAGCCGTGTACGACAAACGTTTCGGGAACGTCATTGGCCGTGGCGTCCATTTTCACTACTTGTACGCCCGGCTCGTCCTTCAATAGTTTACCTATTGATTGATTGGGTAAACAAATAAAAATAAAAACACAATTAGATAACAAATAGAAAGTTATTAAATTAAAATATATATATATTTTTTTTTTGAAAAACTAATAATAATTTAAAGAGATATCAGTTGTATTGACTGATCAGTCATTGATAATTAAAATCAGACCCGTCTTGAAAAAGTACAAACTCATCATTAAAATCTCTGTACTATCGGTGGTGTTAAATGTTTGTAACCTAACTGTGCGTTTTAGAGAGAGGGAGGGCGGACGGAACTCATACCTAATTCATCGAAAGCTGGCGCCAACTTTTTGCAATGTCCACACCACGGGGCGTAAAACTCAATCAGTGTATCCCGATCTGATTTGGTCACTAAATCGTCGAAATTTTTGCCGACAGCAACCTTAACATCAGCGCTATCGTTATCGGTGGGCACTTCTTCCGACTTCTGGTACGGTTCCAGTTTACCGTCAGTCAAATCTTTGACAAACTGTTCCAACGATTCAACCGAAAACTTTTGTTTCAGTCCATACTTTTTGCCTTTGGAATCGCGGGCGCCGACAGCCGGAGCCGCATCCCGGTCTTTGGGTGCTTCCAGACCAAACTCCTCGAGTTCACCGGCAAATTGCAAATGATTGGATACGGCAAACGACAGGTCCCGATAGTTTTGTGCCACTTTCAGTACCCGATTGCGCCAATAGTTGGTACCCTTCGGGTTCTTAACGTAGTCGACATCGTAATAGACGACCACTAATGGTGTCTACAAACAAACAAAAAAAACAAGTTTTTAATTAATAAAATACTATCAAATGTATCGCTAATTTACTGGACAGTCCTATCAAATGATTTGGTGATATAACTGCTAACTGTATAGCGATATCTAATCACTTAATTGGTCTCATAAATCATATTTGAATGATTTCTGGAACTAATCAAGTGATCATCTGATCCGCAAACATATACACCCGTACCTTAAAATCGTTGTTATTGTTTTGTGTCCTGAATCCGACCAAACCGTGATAATTGGTTTTAATAAAGTCATCGATAGTTGAGTCGTCGCCGGCGGCACTGTATTCGACAACATTCGGCTCAAACTTATTCTTCATGTCTTTCGGCCGAACCAACAGAACAGTGGGTGCTTTCAGATCCTTGAGTTCGGCAAACTGTTTCAATGCGAGTGCGTCGTCGCCAACGGATGAGGTAAACAAGTGGACAAAATTGACGGATTCACCGGCAATTTGTCGGCAGTTTTCAAGAATTTCTTTTGCAAGTCAGCAGCTGATGAGTCGTCCTTTTCGAATACACCCAATACTATGGCATCTTTGGCTTTGTTTAGTACATCTTCCAGTTTCTTGGTCTTGGTATCGACCAATCGGGAAGCGGGTCCCACTTGCGATCGCATATACTTGACAATGCCGTCCGATTCGCGCGGACCATTGTATTCAGAGGCAAACTCGCCGCCTAAACAAACAATCAAACAAACGGTTAGTTCAATAGAAAACAAACAAACATCGGATCCGATAGATAGGTCATTCCGAGTTGTTAATACCATTTTTGAATAGATATATATAACTAACTGCCGGTCCTATTGTGACCACATACACCTACACCAGCACACATACTTGTATAGACATGTCTAGCAATGGATCGGTAGGTCAATCAATCAATTGCGATCGCATATACTTGACAACTAATTAACTAATCAATCAATTATCGATTATAAATAACTAAATTTATTCATTAAATAAATTATTCTATATATATATTAAAAAAAAATTTTAAATTAAATTCAAATCAATTTTATTCATTCAAATCAATCAATCAATTAATAAATCAAAATTTCAATTAAAAATAAGCAAAAAAAAAAAATTTTGAATACAAATAATGAGAGATAGAAATCAAAAAAATTTATTATTTATTATACGAAACATATTAATTGTCATTAAAGAAGTGGTAGTAGTCTTCACACATTCAACACCAATTGATCCGATGTCCTGATCGGGATGTCCTCTAACTCTCTCTCTTATCGGGTCTCTAATCATCGTTGCGTAGCTTCTCCTGAATCTTAACCCAACGAGCGAACGGACCCTTATTGGGAAAGTACTGACAGGTAATACCGTCGGGTTGTAGGCGGCCGTCGGCAACCATTTCCCGGTAGTCCTCCTGCGACCACTTCGTAAAACCCCACTTCTTCGATACGGCAATCTTCTGGCGGCCGGGAAACTTGAACTTTGCCCGCCTGAGTGCCTCAATAACATTGTCCTTATGTTGTTCGCGTACGCGTACCGATATCAACGGCTGGCCAATATCGACTCGGGCTACCGTTCCCAGGGGTTTACCGAAAGCACCGCGCATTCCAGTCTGYAGACGATCGGCACCGGCACACGACAACATCTTATTGATGCGCAATACGTGAAACGGATGAACCCGTATACGGATATGAAAGGCATCTTTGCCGCACGTTTTGACCAAATATTTGTTACAACAAATACGGCCGGCCTCTAGCGCTTCGGARCTGATCTGCTCGAACTCGTTGGACAACAAGTGTACGCATAGCGGRAAGTCGCGGACATCCGCYTTTTTRCGGCCCAAATCAAATATACGGATCTTAGCGTCGGGTACTCCCCGGCAAAAGCGGGACTTCGGGTACGGTTTGTTTTTGCAATAGCGATAACAGCGAGCCGGTCGGCGACCCATTGTTGTTGTGGCCAACAAGTGGTTGGTATCGGGTGTCTGCGATAGATAGATATAGATATCAACCGTGAAAAACACACACAAACAACACGTTTCACTGTTGATTGCGCTGTATATAAGCGGAAAGGGATGTAGTTTTTTTTAGTAGTTTGATAGTTGACTACCAGTGCTATGACTGCTGCTATACTATACACACAGTGTGTATATACTATGACATCACTGTATATATGATTTTATTTTAGTACTGTTTAATACTGTACTTCCCATTCATATATTACGTGTGTCTATGTGTATGTATGTGTACGTGTTGTATGTGTGTGTGTGTGTGTGTATATGTATGTGTATATGTGTGTATGTATGTGTATTTGTATGTGTTTATGTATATTTGTGTAAGTATATGTGTGTGTGTGTTTGTGTATGTATGTATGTGTATATGTGTGTCTTTATGTGTGTGTCTGTATGTGTGTATGTATATGTGTGTATATATGTGTATGTGTTTATGTATATGTGTGTATGTATATGTGTGTGTTTGTATATATGTATCAATTTATATACAGTATATAAGTGTATGTATGTGTAAATTTTATCAATGTATTTATGTGTATGAATGTGTTTGTAGGCTAACCCATACACTACACATATACAGTGTATTATAATCTAATAATAAGTACATTTTTAAATTAAAAATTTTAATAATTAAAAACTTAACGTTAATTATGTGTAAACTTTTTATTTGTTTTTTTGTTAGAAAATAGTAATGTAATTTTAAAAACCATATAACTGATACTTATAGTACCCATTGCTATTGCTATTGACTTACATTATATGCTAGTTAACTCGTTTTTAAAATAAAATAATAAAAATTAAATATTTTCCTTATTATAAACTGCATTGCATTTATCATACGGACTGTTCACAAACACTGTTACTTATTTATAGTGTGTGTGTGTGTGTGGCTATAGTATGTATTAAAGGGAAAGTTAGGTTAGGTTTTCACAAATGGTAGGTTTGGGTTAGGGCTATAACTTTAGATAAATAAAAAACAAAGGAAYGGTAGTTAAGTGTTAGGTTATAATAAATTTATTCAGCCTTTCATTGAATTACACGTCGACTTAATGGCACTGTTGTGTTGGGTAGGCATAGAGGGAAAGGCATGTTATACTAGAGAGTGTGAGGGATAGGTATGTATTAGCACTGAGAAAGATAGTGTAGTATTAAAATAAAAAGCCGGCGTTTTTTTTATTAGCCATACATTTATTGTGTGTTTTGTTGTTTTATATTTTATTTTTTGGTGGACTATTGTCTCTCTCCCCTCCTGTATGAACACATAGGGCTATAAAAACCCCCCAAAAAAATTAAAAATTAGTTAAAAAAATTTAATTAATTTTTTTATTAAATAAAAAGTTTATTTAATATATAAATAGTATTTTGATATTCAAAAAGTTAGTTATTATTATTACTCCTATTGTATTACTATTACTATTACTACTACTACTGTATAGTCAGTCAAAGTGTGTGATATATATATATCCTAATAATAAACCATTAAATTTTTGGGATCAATTTCAGGGATCACTTCCATCATCATCAGTACAGACAAAACAAAACCATCATTTRATTGGATACCAACATCAAGAAGTCGAAGAAGAAGAAGAAGAAGATGTCCGCCAAATATGTTTCAAACAAAACTATCTTATTCATCACCGCCGCCGTCGCCGTCGTATCAGTTGTCGTCAAAGCCGAAGATGTCTTAGACTTATCTGCAGGTGATTTCAAGTCGGCCATTGGCCAACACGATACCGTATTGGTCGAGTTTTTTGCACCTTGGTGCGGCCATTGTAAGCGATTGGCACCCGAATACGAGTCGGCCGCAACCGCCCTCAAAAACAACGATCCGCCCGTTCCTCTCGCAAAGGTATGCGGTGTGTGTCCACTACTAAGTAGGTCTGACCCTAGAGAGAGAGGATAGTTAGCCGGACATGTCATGACCGATGATTGTCTCTCTCTCTCTCGGAGGACACGTGTTGTTTTGTGACCACTATTTTATCGTTAATATATGTTATATACTAACTCTTTGTCTTTCTCTATCTCTCTCTCCGTTACACTAATGTCTTTCATCTATTAATCACAGGTCGACTGTACCAGCGATGGCGGCAAAGATATCTGCTCTGAATATGGTGTTAGCGGTTATCCGACGCTCAAGATATTCAAAGGTTTGTGTGTTTGATTGGTTGGGTTGGGACTGTCCTGTCTGTCCTATCCGTGTCCGCTGAATGACAAATGAGTTGTCGGTTTAATAGTTTGACTGCCGGTGTGCGTGTCTGTCCTGATGTCTGTATGTATGGACATAACACTTGTTGTGTGTATGTGTGTGTGATTGTCAATTAGGTTTTTACAGGACCTGTTGTTATCGGGGAAAGGTATGGGTGTGAGTGATGAGGACGTGTAGTATAGTGGTGTTGAATACACAGAAAAAACGGTTAGATTTTTGTTTGTTTGTTAGTTAGTTATTTAAGTGGACAACTAATCACTTGTTTACTACTAATATACGGTAATATAAGTATTTCAATATATATATATAGTTAGATAACTGTTATATAATTAGCATTGATTAGTAGATTATTAAATGGTAATACCAGTGAATGACTTTACATATCTATATGTCTTTCCCTTATATTTACCTCCCTTTTCCCCCTCCTCTCTGTCTGTCTGTCTCTCTCTCTCTCATCGATGATAAGTGTTTTAATTATCAATTTCAATGTCTGTATAATCTTCAATACAACTATACATATTAGACTAGACCATGAATAGCGCCCCAGATGTTTACATACAAGTGCTGTATGCATGGGTCTACCACTTGGGCACCGATAGATAATAGGTTTATTTTATTAATTTTTTTTAATTAACAAAAAATATGTTTAGTATTTTAAACTAATTTTATTTAATTGTTTTCCCTAAACAAACGTGTCATTTGCTTAAAAAAAAGTTAAAACACTCGGTTATATATGTGTGTGTGTGTGTGTGCACAGGTAGGCAAGTGTTTGTCTAGAGGTTATGGGGGGTGGGCTGGGGGGTAGCGGGTGCTATTCATTAGCTCTATTAAGGGTGTGTATGTTTTTTTTTTGTTGTTGTTGGTAGGTTTAGTTTAGGTTTTTTTATTAGTTATCATACAAACACATATATAACAGGTTTTTTGTTTGTAAAGTTTTATATACCTGTGCTGTATGTATGCATGTGTGTGTGTGTGTGTCTATGTTTGTGCAATAGGAAAGGTATGCATTTTATTTTTCAATACACACCAAAAAAAAATAGTCACCAACCAAATGATGATATACATGGCTCTCCCAGTCAATCAGTATCACTGAATTAAAACACATTGATGACTGCCATATTGTGGTTATACCGCCCCAGTCTGATGATTGGTGATGACTGTGTATTGATTGATTGATCTACCGATTCATTGCTAGACATGCTAGTATGGGTGTAGGTGTATGTGGACAATAGGACCGGTAGTTAGTTATATATCTATTCAAAAATGGTATTAACAACTCGGAATGACTGACCTATCTATCGGATCCGATATTTGTTTTTTTATTGAACTAACCGTTTGTTTGATTGTTTGTTTAGGCGGCGAGTTTGCCTCTGAATACAACGGTCCGCGCGAATCGGACGGCATTGTCAAGTATATGCGATCGCAAGTGGGACCCGCTTCCCGATTGGTCGATACACGCAAGAAACTGGAAGATGCACTAAACAAAGCCAAAGATGCCATAGTATTGGGTGTATTCGAAAAGGACGACTCATCCGCTGACTTGCAAAAGAAATTCTTGAAAACTGCCGACAAATTGCGTGAATCCGTCAATTTTGTCCACTTGTTTACCTCATCCGTTGGCGACGCACTCGCATTGAAACAGTTTGCCGAACTCAAGGATCTGAAAGCACCCACTGTTCTGTTGGTTCGGCCGAAAGACATGAAGAATAAGTTTGAGCCGAATGTTGTCGAATACAGTGCCGCCGGCGACGACTCTATCGATGACTTTATTAAAACCAATTATCACGGTTTGGTCGGATTCAGGACACAAAACAATAACAACGATTTTAAGGTACGGGTGTATATGTTTGCGGATCAGATGATCACTTGATTAGTTCCAGAAATCATTCAAATATGATTTATGAGACCAATTAAGTGATTAGATATCGCTATACAGTTAGCAGTTATATCACCAAATCATTTGATAGGACTGTCCAGTAAATTAGCGATACATTTGATTGTATTTTATTAATTAAAAACTTATTTTTTGTTTGTTTTGTAGACACCATTAGTGGTCGTCTATTACGATGTCGACTACGTTAAGAACCCGAAGGGTACCAACTATTGGCGCAATCGGGTACTGAAAGTCGCGCAAAACTATCGGGACCTGTCGTTTGCCGTATCCAATCATTTGCAATTTGCCGGTGAACTCGAGGAGTTTGGTCTGGAAGCACCCAAAGACAGGGATGCGGCTCCGGCTGTCGGCGCCCGCGATTCAAAAGGCAAAAAGTATGGACTAAAACAAAAGTTTTCGGTTGAATCGTTGGAACAGTTTGTCAAAGATTTGACTGACGGTAAACTGGAACCGTACCAGAAGTCGGAGGAAGTGCCCACCGATAACGATAGCGCTGATGTTAAGGTTGCTGTCGGCAAAAATTTCGATGATTTAGTGACCAAATCAGATCGGGATACACTGATTGAGTTTTACGCCCCGTGGTGTGGACATTGCAAAAAGTTGGCGCCAGCTTTCGATGAATTAGGTATGAGTTCCCCCGCCCCCCCCCCTCTCTCTAAAACGCACAGTTATGTTACAAACATTTAACACCACCGATAGTACAGAGATTTTAATGATGAGTTTGTACTTTTTTTCAAGACGGGTCTGATTTTAATTATCAATGACTGATCAGTCAATACAACTGATATCTCTTTAAATTATTATTAGTTTTTCAAAAAAAAAAAAATATATATATTTTAATTTAATAACTTTCTATTTGTTATCTAATTGTGTTTTTATTTTTATTTGTTTACCCAATCAATCAATAGGTAAACTATTGAAGGACGAGCCGGGCGTACAAGTAGTGAAAATGGACGCTACGGCCAATGACGTTCCCGAAACGTTTGTCGTACACGGCTTTCCCACTATCTATTGGTATCCGAAGGACAAGTCCGGGCCGAAGAAATACGAAGGCGGACGAGAGGCTCAAGACTTTTTGCAATATATTGCCAAACAATCGACAAACGAATTGGCCGGTTATGACCGAAGCGGTAATAAAAAGGAGACACAAAAAGAGGAACTGTAGGCGCGAATGATTGGATCAATCGATTGATTGATTGATTAATTAATTGATTGATAACTGAATTATTATTTTTTATTTAATTATTATTTAATAATATATTTTCTGTAATTTTTTTTTAATTAATTAATTAATTATTATTATTATTGATATTATTTTTTTTCGTCGTCCAAACATCAGATGTGCAACAAATATATGTTTTTTTATTGATATAATTAGTAATAATTATTATTATTATATAATATATATATTTTTTCATTAATTTCTCTCTCAATTTCTCGGCTATTATTGACAACAACAACAAAACTGTCGTATCGTTTAAATTAATTAATTAATAATTTTGTTTGTTTTGTATGTTTTTTTTTATAATAAAATCGGTTTTTAATTCTAATTGTTTTTAAGTATAATTTTTTATAATCAGTTTTTATATTATTAGTAGTTTTTTTTCCTAATTAACAAATAACTAAAACAAAGTTAAAAAATTCATTGTACAGTAATATACAGTACTACACAATACAGTATCAATATATTAACTCTATCTAGAAATTTAACAGTAATTTTATTTTCAAATAATATTAAAATTAATTCTGTAAAATAGCTATTAATTATTATTATAAATAATTAATAAAAATTATATATACATTATAAATATATTTCATCTATTTATATATATATATATATATATATAATTATTTTCTAAATAAAAAATAAATTATTATAACTAAATTGTATTTTTATTAATAAATTTTGATTACTTATACATAGATAGCATAATTATATCATATATACTGTATCATTGCAACTGTTATTATTAAATATTAAAATCAATATATCAAACAATTTCTAAAAATTTATATAATAAAAAAAGTCTAATAATAATAATAATAATAAAACTTTAAATAACTAGAATTAAAAAATAATTTAAATAATTATTTTTTTTTTAAAAAAATTAATTATAATTATAGTTTTAATTTTGATTATTAAATATCGGACGCCATTATTTTATTGATGCCATCTTATTTTTTTAAAAATTATATTTAATAATAATAATATTAGTTATTAAATAGATATTACAATCTGTAAAAAAAATGAAAATAAATTATCGGTAATATAAAAAAAAACATTAATATTAGTAATTAAATTTAAATAAAAAAAATTAAAACAATAAAAGAAAATATTTTAGTTTTACTTTTAGTTTTATATATAGATATATATATATAGATATCTATTCTACGTAAGAAACGGCTTCTAAGGCTTCATTTATTTCCTCTTCAGTTATTTGTTTAGACAATGATATGTTAAATAACATAACAATTATTATTATTATTATTTGTAATAATAATAATAATGATAATACAAGTGATCCTCCAAACAATTTAGTCATTTTGTTGTTGGCAATAATTTTTGTTTTTTTTTAGTAGTAGTTATGTCTATCAATCAATAGTTATAATAAAAACTAATTAATCAAATATATTAATTAATTTCTCTCTCTCTCTCTCTCTCTAATCAAAAGAAAAAATTGTTAGCAAATTAAAAAATTTCTAGAGAGAAAAAAAGTTGTAAAAAAATACACATATGTTTTGGAAATTAAGTTTTGACGCATACTATACTGTATTTTCTACACATTTACGTTTGTATATATATTTATACAATTTTGACAACAAAGTTGTGTGACACGGTTTATTGGATAAAAACCTTATTAAAATATAATAAATTTATAATAATACAAACATAAATTTCGATACTATACTCAGTGTCTATTTGATAGTTTAAATCATACTAATAGCTGTCAGTATTGCAAATTAGTTTATAAAATCGATCTTTATTTATAAATGTGTATTTAATGTATTTTTATATATAACAATATTCTCTCTCTCTCTTATAAATATATATATATATAGAGGTATATAAATAAATATATATATATATATGTTGTTAAGCTAATTATTTTATTTAATTAAAATTAGCTATAATTAATATTTATTATTTCACAATTTTAATTATTTAATATTATGTTTGTTTATATGAATTCGTTTAATAATTAATTATAATTATGTTATAAAATAAGCTAAATTTAATTATTATTACTTTGTATAATAGCATTAATTATAAAATGTATTTGATTTACATTATAAATATAATATAAATCTTATATGTTATAGCAAAAAACTGATTCATGGACTTTGTCTTAAATAGTTGTAAAAAAATTAGACTCAAATAAATTCATATTATTTAATCATTAATTTCATTAACTAAATTAATAGTTTTTTAATTTTTAATATAGAAAATATAAACTTAAAAATATTATATTTATTTAGATTAATTATATTTAACTTTTTATAAAGAATATATAATAGTATAATAGTTTGCTATTATACCATGTAATCCCACATAAACTAGATCATTTTTAAAAATAGTTTTATTTAGGTAATTTTATCCAGATAAAATAACTATATCTGCTATTGTGTATTTTGTAGTATACTGTTAGTAGTGTTTTCATAGGATAATTGAGAAAATAATGTTATATAAAAAAAATGTTTATCAATAAATAATTTATAATCAATTATGTTAGTACAATAGTTAACATTAGTGGCATAAACTGTCTTACATTGAAAAATATCATCAATATTATTAAACCAATTGAATATTGTTCAATAATTGCTATACTTGATTAAATAGTTTGTAATTAAATTTTTATTTTTATCACTACTATTAACAAACTTATTGTAAATGGTTTTGTTTAATAGATTTGATTTCAGCATGGCAATAGTTAAGCCAGGTAAATTAAATTGCTTAATTGGTTTAATAATTGTAGCGGTGCTAATTTCATATAAAAAATATTGTATTGTTATATCATATAAATAATAACAAAATGCAATTATTAATATAAAAATTATTATGCGATTAATTAATGTTAAATAATTCATTATTAATTTGAAACAATTTAATAGTTATTTGTATTACTTTTGTTAAAATCACTTTTTAAAAAATTATATTTTATTTAGTTTTTACTCCTTTAATAATAATAAGTTTTTTTTGCAAAATATTACAAAATGTTTATATTTATATTACAAAATGCCATACATTTATATATCATATAAATAAAATGGTTTATTTAATTGAATAAAAAATATATTTATATATTTATAATAACCATGAAATATGTTTACTATTTATCTATTATATAATAACTATTTTATTTGCTATTCTAGTTTGAATTGTACTTATTATTATAGATTATTTTATATTATTATTTACTATTACTTATTTATAAATTGGTTTTAAGTAATTGAAAAAAATTATATATATTTATAATAACCATGAAATATTAAACTATTTAACTATTATATAATAACTATTTTATTTACTATTCTAGTTTGTATTGTACTTATTATTATAGATTTTTTAAAAAATATTTGTTTGAATTATAAATTCAAATTAAATAAGTGTTTTGGTTTTTTTTAAATATTTGTTTGAACCGATTGAAAATATCTACCGTTTCCTATAGTAAACTATACATTAATATATAGAATAAACATTAAATAATATTTTTTATTAAATATGTATACAAAATATACAGTATATATATATAATTAATTATTTAGTATACAATATATTGATTATATACTCTGATATTTCTATAAAAATTTTATTTAGGTATTTAATATTTATTTAATCAATATTTATAAAAAAATATATACATATAAATAGATTAATACATATTTAAACATAGATTAGTATAGTATATAGTAATGTTCTCCATTCTAGGAGTTAAGCTATATAAATATTTAAGTAAACAAATACACATGTGATAGTAAGTATTAATACAAGTAAACATAAGATTAAAATACCTTAGGATTAAAATAACTAAAGTATTTTAAACACAAAATATTAATATAAAAATAATCAAATGTACAAAATTATAAACAGTTGTTTACAAGTCGTTGAGTTATCTTGTATTATAATTTTTATTAAATTGTTTTCAAAAATTAGATATATTTATTCAGTTTTTAATAAAAAAATTGTTAATAATAATTACAATAATAATAATAATTATTATTATAATTGTAATAATAATAATTGAATATTTATTTATTGAACACTTCTGTAAAATTGTATTAAATTAATGTTTATTTAAAAATATTAATTAAAGCAAACAAACAAAAAATAATTTTAAAATCAACTATTGATTACCAAATCAAGTGTTTTATTAACAATTGGAAACTCTGTATGATTTTGTGCTGCAAATAATAGATCACATTTGATGCGAGAATACTAAAAAAAATTATTATAATAATTGTAATACTAATAATAGTTATAATAATAATAATTGTGATATACAAAGATAATAATAATAATATATAAATAATTATATATTTTAAAATTTTATTAATTGATAAAAACAAAGTGATTTGACTATATAAATAAGTTTATTTATTGTTAATTAAAATAAAATGGCTTTTAATAATAATCAATTTTTGAATTTTATTAATAAAAACAGTAATTCAACAAATGTTAGCAACAACTCATATATACTATATAGTTCAATACTAATTGTAAATTATATTATAACTTATAATTTATAAGCATTCAAACAGAGAGACAGAGAGATAGAGAGAGACAGAGAGAGAGAGAGAGAGAGAGAGAGAGAGAGAGAGAGAGAGAGAGAGAGAGAGAGAGAGAGAGAGAGAGAGAGAGAGAGAGAGAGAGAGAGAGAGAGAGAGAGAGAGAGAGAGAGAGAGAGAGAGAGAGAGAGAGAGAGAGAGAGAGATACGGCGCCAGGGATTTAAAACTATGAACTGAAACATAAAGTTTTCGGTCGACGCGTTGGTGGCAACAGTTTGTCACAACAAAAAAAAAAAGATTTGACGGCTCCGGTGGTAAACAACTSGAAAACTCTCGGAACCAGAAAACAGGAAGAATGCAGTTATTCACCGACGSTTAAGGGTTGTTGTTGTCGTTATTTTTGACGACAATTTAGTGGCCAAATCAGGATTAAGGACACACACACACACACACTGATCAAGTTTTATGCCACCCGCGTTGGGTGTGGGCCAGCAAATCGGTGTGTGTGTGTGTTTGGCCACTGGCCATCATCTTCCGAAGTTCAAGTGTGATGACAAAATTGATTGAGATTTATGGCTATATTTTAGTGATGATTACCGGTATATTAGTACCGAAACAATAACCAATAGAAATAATTTGGTAATAAATAAATACAATCATTGACTGGAAAACAATAATCATTTGATAGGACAGACAGTTTGTTAATTACTGGTCAACACCGTTGCCGCTGATGATAACCAGATGATTACTACTACTACTACTACTACTACTACTACTACTACTACTACTACTACTACTACTACTACTACTACTACTACTACTACTACTACTACTAAACACGTTTTGGTGGCCACTATCGCCGATAAAGCAAATATATGATGCGATTTAATTAGATATGAATTTATTTTACGGTAATTACAAAAACAAATATTTATGAATTTAATTGATATGTTTTGCTGTTGTTGTTGTTGTTTGCGGTAATCCAGAGATCACTGAATCAATCAAACAATCAATTGGTCTGAAAGTCTTTCATCTGAAAGGCTGTGATCTCTGACTGGATTCTTGAAGTCTTTCCATCGATTAGTTCGTTAATAAATTTCAATTTGTTTAGCAAATGGTTGGCCTCATTGTCACAGTTGACGATAGACTTTGTTGTCGTCGTCGACGACATTGTCTTCAGTTTCTTCGCTGTCTGTGAGTCCGTTGGCGCCGATGGAGACGTCGAAGTCGAAGATTGTTTAGCAATTGTTTCTCTGTTTTCGACCAAACTTTTCATCGAATTCAATATCTCTTCGCCTTTCGATACGTCGCTAATCTGTTCCCAGAAGTGATTTCTGTCGTACAGATCGGCAACCAATTGATGAACGACTTGCAGTAGCTGTGGATCTCGCGGGTCAAGTGTCGGAAATCGGCGGCCGTTAGCTTTGGTAGTACTGCCACCACTGCTGCCGTCATTATCGGTAGTGTCGGCGATGGACTGCTTTTTGTGACAAACAGTGTCTATTGTCTGGTCTTCAGTCGCCGCTACCGCTGTAGTTGTTTTGTCGCCAATTATCGGCACTTTTTCTTTGCCACTGCTGTTGTTGTTGTCGTTGTCTACCACTTCTTCTTCTTCTTCCTCTTCTTCAGTGTTCACTACCAACTGATTATTGACTATCACTTCAGTTGTTGTCGTTGTCGTCGGCTTTTTGATGGTCAGGTCTTGCGGTTCAGTCTGAAAGCTATCGTTCATCAGCTGTGTATCGCTAGCGATGTTGTTGTCATCATCTGATCCGTTCATCTTTATAGTAGTAGTGATAATAACGATATGGATGTCTTCCTCCTCCTCACTCTCTCTCGCGTCTAAAATTGGGAACCGTTTGTCTGTAAGTGATGTCTATTGTCTTAAAAGTCTATAAAAATAAATGGTTTTTATTGTGCGCTTCACTACTGACTGAATCACAACTGAATAAAAACATAATCGTATTTCTAGTTTTGGGTACTTTTTCTAGTTATGTAGACTATATAGTTAAACAGTTAAAACTTTGTAGTATAAAAAAGTACCAAATTTGTTGTTGTTGTTATTATTGATGTTTACTATCATATGTTGTATTGAATGCTATTATAGAGATGTCTATACAATAGAGTTATTTTTTTGGGGTTTGGATTCGGGTATAGGTTTGCTATTAATTACCATAATTTGGATTTAATTAAATTAGTTATTAATTGTTTTATATGTATATTCAATAAATAATAAGTAAACATATATAATATTATATATTATTATAAGTTTATTAGAAAAATTTAATTGATAATTATTTTTATTTAATAAATTTAATTTTTTAAAAATCTGTTTTTAATTCAAACACATACTTAAAAACCAAACCGCTTTTTTTCATTAATACACAAATGTGTTGTGACTCTAATCTAAATAGAGTCTAATGTTTTGAAACTTTATTTATTAATTAATTAAATTTTTTACATTGAATTACATTATAATTAAACTAAATTAATAGCAAAACATATGATTAGTTTTATTAGTAAATAAAATATTTATTGTTTTGTTTTTGTTTGAAGATTTAATTATTATTTAAACTGTTTTTTTTGACAATCAATTGATCCATACATTTGAACGGACAGTTAGTTTTTGAAGAAAAAATAAAATGGTTTTCCGTATTGTCTATCGGGTTATCTACGGCTTTATCGGCAACGATCGAGTGGTCGAACGGTTAGCCCAGTCAACAATTATTCGCCGATCGGCACAATTGACTGCCCGTTGGCTGACCAGAGGTCGACAGGCAGTCGAAGATAGTATCGGCGGAGATGTCCGCAACAAACAAGAAGTTATCGATGATCTTCTCAGACGACGGACAGCTGACAAAACGGGAAGTTTTGGCCATCGATTTGTCCATCGATTTCGACGCGAACTTAAAGACCAGTTTAACGAAGCAAAGGAAGAGTTGGGTCAGAGAAGACATAGAAGATAACAGACAGATAGACACCGATTGATAGACAGATAGGATGGGTTGGTATCGGTTATTATCGGTGATTGTGTCCAATCACTGATAGTTTTTTTTGTGGACAACTCTAACTAATCGTTTGATTGGTTTTTTTTCGGGACATTTTTGTTAGACATTTATTGCTATAATTATTAGTTAATTATATACTAAAATAAACTATAGTTTTATTTGATTATTATTATTATTATTATAATTATCTGTATATTTAATATGATATCAAATTAAATAGTTTATTACATTATATATTCTAGTATTTATTATAACTAGTATTTAAAATAAAATAAAATAATATAATTGTATAATAAATAATAATAATAATAATAATATTTGTTAAGAAAATATAATAAATAAATCCTGTTATAAAAAAAATATTTAGTTAATTATTTTATTTAACTAATATAGATATTAATATTATAAATTATAATATTAGGAAATATTACTATTATTTATTATAAAACAAATTTTTAATAATTAGATATTTTCGATAAAAAAAATAATAATTTGTTTATAATAATAACAGATAGTTAGTTGTATTTGTATTTCAAATGTCTGGCAAAAAAAATTTAGTATTAAATTATATATATTAATAATTTATAACAAACTTAGATATAAAAAATATCTAATATTACTGTAAGCTATGTATATATTTGCTAATAAAGTTTTATCCAATTTTTTTTTGGATCAATATATTTAAATATAATCTATAAAAATGTTTGATGTTAATATTTATGTAATATATATATATGTAATGTGTTTATTTTAATTATTTAAATATAATAGAAATATATCAATATATCTATAGAAATACATAATACTTAATAAAAATCAATAACAATAGTATATTATTATATTAATATAAGTTAGATATATATATATATATATAAACATTTATTTTTTTCTTATATTATTTAAATTATCTAAGATTATGTCTAGACTCTGGACTATATTATACAGTAATATAATGTCAATAAATATTAAAAATGTATATTAAATAATATATAAAAAAAATAATATAAGATATTAAATTTATTGTTATTATTGAGTATATATAAATTAAACATTAATTTACAAATTTATAAACAAAATGTTTAGTTCATTAATTAGACAATAAAAATGTTAATTTTAAAAAATTAAATAATAATAATATAAAAATTAATATAAATATTGTAATTAAATATCAATTAAAAAACAATATGAATCCAATAGATATATAATTAATTTAAGCAATATAAGATAGATTATAGTTTAATAGATTTTATTTATAGTAAAAATGTTTTATAATTTTAGTTAAATTATAAAAAATAACAATTTCTAATTACTATATAAATTGTTTTTTTTAAATAAAATTAATAAAAGCGACAATACTTTATTAAAGTCAATTAGATTACATATCATTTAATTAGTCTAATAGTATATTAAAATATATTAAATAAATTATTACAAAAATAAGTTAAAACAGTAAAATTTTTTTAACTTTATTATAGATTTAGAAAATAAGTATTACTTTAGTAAAAATCAAAATTTAAAAGTTTAATAAATCTCTTAGATGATAATTTTTCAATATAATAAATTTAATAAACTAATAAATAAATTTTTTAAAAATACAAATTTATTTAATTACTATTACTGTATTTTTATAACTTATTATAAAATAATTATACAATCAATGTTTAACTAAATTTATTAAATAAATTTTGATAATAAAGCTGTATTTTTTTTAATAAATAATTAATAGCAATTTTAATAACAATATTATTATTATTATTATTATTTGTTTATAAATAAAATATATTATATGCAAACATTTTTGTTTAAAATAAATATATATTTTCTAGTAGTATAAAACAAAATATTTTTTATATCTATTTATCAATAAAAGTTATTATATAGATTTTTATTATAATTTATATAAAAAAAATATAATTTAGTATTTAACATAAACAATATTTTATTGGTTTTTTTTGTTATTGTTGTTGATTAGCATATTGGTTTTTTTTTAAATTTAATATATTAAACAAATTGCATAAAAATTCAAATATATGATATAATATGCATTATTCATATAAAATTATAATAAAATAATTATACATAATAACAATAAACAAAAATGTACTTGAAATTATTTCTATTGTATATATATGATAAATTAATAACATATATAATAAATATAACTGAAATTGTTAGACATTTGTTTTTTTTTATTAATAAAATCTAATTTATTTATTATTATTGTTTATTGTGTGGTAAATATTTAGTGCAATAAAAAAAAATTTTTAAAACTAAATAATATTTTAAAAATAATTGTTAATAATATGGATACATATTGGGAACATTTTTTTAAGTCATATATAGTTATAAATGAAAATTCAAATCATCAATGCAACTATAATCTTAACACTACCGATGACATATATTTGTTTTTTATATCAACAAATGTAGTTTGAATTTTTCATTAAATTAATTTTTATATATTTTAAATTAAAATTGAAAAATATTTAATTAATTTTGTTTTTTTAATTAATATATATATATATATATAGAAACGTTTTATTTTCAATTCGTGGTATGCGGATCTATTTAATTATATTACATGCAATTTGAAGTTACGTGTATTTGTTAGGACATTATTTAATATTAATTCAACACTGGTAAGTATTTAAATTTGTTTTTGAAAAATATTTAAGATTTTGTTTTCAAAAAAAATAAATATATTAATTAAAAATAAATTATTTATGATAGTTAAGTAAATCAATAGTTTTACAACCAATGGAATTGGATTCAAAGCTATTAACAAAAGTTGATTATTTATTTGAAAGTCTACAACATTTATATACAATATTAACTGCAATCAAAATTAGTGAAACTGATGATTATTTTTCATTTATTTCAATGTTTAGTTTAAAGGTATTTATTTAAAAAAAATGTTTAAATTAATAAATATATATATATTATAAAAGTATTTACTAATAATCAATAATAAATATTTTATTTTTTTAAATTAATTTTTTAGGTTTGGCTTATAAATTTATTAATCATGCTGTTTGTATGGATTATTTTATTGTTTAATTTCACCAGGATAATTGATAAATTTTTTGTTGGCATCGATATATTATCGCCGTTGGTTGCCCAATCATTGTGGCCAACAACATCAAAATTAAATCAATTATTACCGGAAAAAAATTCAAAATATTTACCAAAAGCTGTTTTTATAATTTTTAGTATTTATATTATAATGTCTAAAGTATTATCGAGTATTTATTCCGGGAAAATAACTACCGGAATGTTTATACGCGAAATGTTTCCGATTGTCGATTCGTTAGATGATTTAATTAGCAATAAATTTATTAAAATATATTGTCATGACATCACTAGTTTTGATTTGTTGGATAATATTAAACAAGATTCATCAGATTTATTAAATAAAAAATCTATCATTAATTTTAATATTGAATTTAAAAATCATCAATTAACTAATCAAAGCACTGACTCATTTTTAATTAATTTTATCAATAATATTAATCATGGTCAATTTGTTTATTTTGGTAACGAAAAATTTGTACAAAATATGCTGTATATGTTTGCTGGAAAATATCCAAATTTATTTATTTCTGATAACAAATACATATACAAACCGTTATTTTGGAGATTAGGAAAATTTCACCCAAAATATAAATCAATTAAACACTTGTAAGTATTAATAACTTTATTATATATTTTTACAATTTAAATTTTAGCATATTAATAATATAAATTTTTTAATAATTAATTTTGGATATATATATATATATTTGCTTTAAGTTACAGTTAATAATAAAAAAAACTCAATTTTTAAATAAAATTATTTTAATTAAATCTTTTTAAAATTATTTTTTATGCTTCAGGTTTACAACAGCAATTGAATGTGGATTGAATATACATCAGAAATTTCAGCATGATAAATTAGTATTCAAAATATTTGATACATTTGTTAAATATATGAAATTTACCAATGAAATAGATGACAAAACTTATAAATTTAAGCATTTATTTAAAAATACATTACTATTATTTGCTCTCAATTATCCAATTGCTATAATTATTTGTTTGTTAGAAAAGTTTTCTTGTTATTTAATTTCTATACGTAGAAAAAAACAAATATCAAATGTATAAATAAATTAGTAAACATTTTTAAATTTATATAAAACCAAAAAAACTAAATATTATGTATGCATTATTATTATTATTATTATTATTATTATTATTATTATTATTATTATTATTATTATTATTATTATTTTTGTATATCACGGTTGTTCCGGTGTGATCACAGTTGTGTCGGCCACTTTTGGTGGCAGAGACACGACTGGTTAGACTCAACTCAAGTCTAGTACTTTTCTGACTGTTCTACAACTCTGAAGTATCACTGCTTTTTGCATTTCATAGATCTTAGTTTTTCTGATTTCCAGTGATTCCAAACTTAAGGCCAGATTTTTCGGTATTACGGCCATTGATGACAGGATTATAGGTATGATTTCAACTTTCTTAATGCGCCACATCTTATTGATCTCATAGGCCAAGTCTGTATATTTTCGGCGTTTCTCACTATGCGTGTCCTGTAGTTTGTGTGTTAGTGGGACCGCTATGTCTATTATGTACGCCTTATCTTGATGTTTGTCTACTAGTACTATATCTGGGCGGTTGTGGGCCACAGTCTTATCTGTTCTTATTTCCTTATCCCAGTAGAGCTTGGCTCTGTTGCTTTCCATTACACTTTGTGGCTCGTATCTATAGTATGGTAATGGTTCTTTGATTAGTCCGAATCTTATTGCCAATTCCTGATGTATGATTTTGGCTACTTGGTTGTGACGGCTTAGGTACTCGGTGTTTGTGAGTACTTTACACCCATTTAGTATATGTTCTATTGTTTCTGACTCCATATGACACATCCTGCACTTGTCTGTTGGTATATTTAGCTTTTGGATGTATTT